ATATATATATATATATATATATATATATATATATATATACTATATATATATATATATATATATATATCAAGTATCAAATATACATAAATTTACAAATGTATCTGGGCAAGTATAAATTTATGAACGTTCACAAATGATAGTACTTGAACTGATATAAATTACTGAGCAGTCAATATTATGTATGAGCTGCATATTATTCCTCTTACGGATATGTAAACTAGAACAATACCCATGGTTATTATACAATCAATCCCACGTACATCTACGTGAATCTCAAATAGTGTATACAAATAGCATCCGCCAAGCTTCCTGTATGGAAAAGGCCCGACTGAATCTGTATGCGCGGCATATTTAGAATCTCAAACACAAAAGGGTTTTCGCACGTACTGCTTCCTCTTGTAAATTTCCTTCTTCAAGTTATCGGATACCGTCGTGCCCCCTTCACCAGAATTCTGCAGCACGGAAATTGAAGCAGTTTTGACGTATTTCATATTTTAAGATTTATATACCAATGCAAACATAGTATATGTAAGTACGTATAATATTGTGTGAGCGAAGAAGAAAAGTGGCCTTGCGTGTGTGTTTATATTCAGTCATATATACGTATATGAGTGCAAGTATATAACTAGTAGCTAGTAACACCTGTACTTATAAACGATCCTAATATCTATTAAACTTTCACACATTCCAACTTCAATGGCACATCGCCCATCTTGATGTACAAGTCTCTGGGTGCTTAGGTTCACCTATACGCCTGTCATCCTTATTTGGACGTGAGCGTGTACTTTAAACCCTAAAACATGTGTGTGAGAGATTGATCTCACCGCATTTCAGCTTTGCGACTTCCTACTTTCGGGTGAAGTTCGGCATCTGCACACGTACTCTATAACTCATCTACACATGTTTTTAATAGGAGAGTATGGTATTCCTTTGAGAGAGAGACCCTGAAACCCTACAACTTTATAAAAACCCCATACCGGCGCTTGCATAGTAGCTAGCTGTACCGTCCCTCGGCGCACCACTGATGGTGACGTGGACAGAGCTGCAAGTAGGAAACATACGCCGGGTTAGAACACCTCACCCTATAGTCTAAGGTCTCGTTGTCATGACAACGGGTACCAGCCTATGAAACCAACGGACACTCAATTGTCAAGTAATTTTCAATACCAATAGTGGCTCGATATTAATCAACTAGCTCTCGTCAGTGCTGTTGCTGTTCCCGTATATAGCCCGTGATACTTACTGTTGCTCTTATCGGCTGAGACCTCTGATAGGCGGTTGTTGACCGAGGGATTGGCGGCCAAAGACGCCACGAACTGTGACCTGGAGAGTGCGTGGCATTGATGTTACATGTCTGAATGTGCCAAGAAACAGCTCAGAACATATATGCGTAATATCCTACATACATGCACCTACTGCTACATAGTATATATCGTCCAGAGATAATAATATAACCCTGGTAACCAGGTATGCATTTCTTCGCTTGTGAACTTGTGAAGTAGAGGTACAACGCTCGGGGTGTGTGGTTCGATTTATATAAAAGCAAACGGACCGGGAATAATAGTCGTGACAACAAGAGGTAAGGACAAGGCTCGATAGAGGTTGTCAGACGAAATATTAGCGTTCAAAGCACTCGTCGTGGTCTTCAATTGGACGAGAAGCATCAAATACTTTCACATATATACACCACGGATGTCTTTGCATAACATTGCATACTACTCAAATGCCCTCATTATATATATATATATATATATACATATATATATGCGTATGTGTGTGTGTGTTTGGATTGGTATTCACAATTGGAGTATTCTTACACATTTGCTCGAACAAAGACAAAATAGACACATCTTGTAGATACCCCAATTCAGTAAGATTCAAAGATAAGCTCCATTGTACGTATGTGTCAACTACACTTTCCGTGCAGTAGACGTTTACAACCACCGAGTCGCAGACGTACATGAAACCCTTTCGACAGTTTCAGCTGCATTAACTGTAAATACAATAAGACCGGCATTATACAGCTCCTGTAGTACAAATTCGATACATGTATGCATATATATATATATATATCCATAGGTAACTCAGACACTCACTTGCGCCGTTTTACTAGAGCAGCCTCAGGGTCTTCCATGGCAGCCGTTCCACTGGTATCCCCGTCGCCCTCGACTTTGAAGGACACTGTGGGTGACAGAGTCCCCTCCTCAGTTCGGGTGTCCATGGTGGCACTGCCGATCTGGCCGTCCTCAGATGGTCTGTTGTGCAGCATAAAGAAGACGAAGGTGTAGTGAATATACCGTGTGCACACTTCAGGTACAGCATCGTGCGTTAGATATTGGTTGTTGTGTGCTATAAATGTCGCAGTTCGATGTACAGTAGATATCATACGTCATGTGCGGTTAAGAGTGTGCCGTGTGCTACATAGAGCGTGTCATGATCTGTATTCCTCGTTTACGATGCACACATATATTGATATGTGCGTGACTATCACCATATGCATGTATAGCTTCACGCATATTTTACACTAGGCATGAATATGTATACACATCTACAACCAGATTATAATAATAGCTATAACTAAACATATACAAGTGCACATGTGTACCTGTGATCCTGTGTCGTCTATATAC